GTTCCTTACACTTATTTCACACTTTTCCGTATTTGACAGCAAAGGATCAACTTGTCGTTTATTGTGTCAATTATCATTAAGTCCATCCGCAAGACAACAATACGATACAAGTGTGTTGTTTTTATTGTAACGTTTGTAAATTATCGTTATTGTTATTATTGTGCCAGATTGACTGTGCATAAGTATAGCTCGGCTTTGGTCTGCCAGGCATTTTGACACTTGGCTTGGCAGAATTTGTGGCTTGCGTTGAACGGAAGTTAAATACTGTTATTTACTTGCTCAATTTCGTGTAAAAGGTTTACCGAACGAAGTTGTTATTATTGTGTTTGCTTGTTTTCTAAAATTAGAGTCTTTATTACATCGGATGTCATAGGTTCCGTGGTAATTGTTGTTATTAGCAAAGCTGAAAGTTCTCGTTTATGAAATACTAAACACAATTAATATTCGTGACATTTACAGTTCTTTTATTATTAAGCATATTACGACAAAATTAGTTACACATTACAATGACAAATAGTTTCGGAGATGTGAGCGTATTTGTAAGATTTTTTATAACTTGGTGTAATCGGAGCTCAAAAATTTAAACGCGTTTTTCTCGAAACGCTGTTTTCAGAGTCGGTGAGTAAAATTACTTCGAAATAGATTCGTCAGATATTTTTCGAAGGAATAAGAGCCACGCTCAAGCGTAACGCTTTTCAAGAAAAAAAAAAACATTTTTTTATGCCGCTATTTAGTCAAAAATCAAAATTTTGACCAGCACTTCGATTTTCATCTTTATCATAATATATTTTATTGGTTTTAAGATTGGAGATTAAGCAGCAAAATCTTGCTCAACGTAAGACAACTTGTTTCACAAAAAATGGTATTTCTTCTGACTTGCAAGTGATTGAACCCCCTTAAGAGCAATATGCATCGATAGCGCTTACTAGGATTAGAATTTTTCTATCAGCTTGACCAGTACAGTCAGTAAGTACTTATTTAGGTTAGTTTGGATAGTTACACTTTTAAAATACGTTCAGGATATTAGTCAAATGAAATACACCAAAAATTTATAAATTGAGTGACGTTACAATTTCTTAAACGATATGAAACTACATCTAGTTGTTGTTATTTAGCACTTTGGTTATATGATGCAAGGTTAATTTGTTTTTGTTATGTACAGGTTTCAATTTATGACAACAAAGGTCAACAAAAAAGTTTAAATTGGTGCATTGAATTGTTCCGAAAAGTTCTCCAACTCAAGCAGCGAGCGAGTCGAGCACTAAAAAGTGCTATCCGCCCACATGGTTTCGCCTCCCGAAAAATTTTAAACACAGACCGGCCAAACAGCGGATGAAGCAAACGGACGCAAAGCCAAAACATGAATTTTATGTCATGCAAATTCTTTCTTTGTTCTTGTGTTTGTCTTTGTTTTACAAAAGCCAACCACACCGGAAAGCAGAGAAAAACAGTGTCAAAAAAACAAAAATATGAAAAACCCTGTGCCCTGTGAACGGTTGGATGGAACGACACGCGAACTGACAACTGGAGCCTCAGAGAGCCGAAGGGGAGAGTACGTATAACACTTCAGATTTGGGTTCATGGGTATTAGGTATATACGAATATGGGCCAAACCAAATGACACAAACAACAAGTGTATGAGAAACGAATTTTATAACAACTACAACAAACGAAGCAAAGCAACTATAACAATAACGAAACAGCTAAACAACCGCGTGACTGACTTTTGATTCCCACCGGAGAAGGCAACGGCAGCAGCAACGGCAAACAATAACCGGGACTTACGGTGTTGCAGCTGCAATAATAATAACAGCACGAGTACACAAGCGCAATTTGTTGCACGAAGTTGCTGCCGCAGACAACCAACACAACTTGAAGCACCCTACGTCGTCCACTTATAAACGACTGCGGCGCTAATGGCGGCGTTGGTGGCGGGCGTTGTTGGCGGCAATGTTCTGTCACACTGACTTCTCTTCGCTTTTGACATTTTTGATATAAATATTTTTACCGCATTGTTGGGCTTAATCCTATTGCTCATTGCTTGCTGGCGGCTTTCTCTGCTTTGTAAACTGTTTTTATGTTTCACAGACTGAGTTCAAATCGTGTTGTTGCTTTTCGTTAAGTTTGTTTAAGTGTTTTGTCTTTGTAGTTGTGGAAAATGTCGTTATTACATAGTGTTGTGGCGTTGAATGAGTTTTGCGACAAAGTTTGCACACAACAATTTGGCTAATGTCCCATTTTCAGTTGATTTCCTTCTTTTCTTTTCGTTGGTCTGGCGACTTTTCTTAAGTATACAAAGATTGGAAGCAAAGTGCGGTGTTTATTACATATTTAACCAATTTCCTTGTTTGTTGTTTGTAGGTACATATACATAAATATACGGATAAGGACCGGTGGATAATCAAAAAAAGTTTACTATTTAGTAAACGAAAGCACAAATAAACATTAACAATAGTTATAACAAGAAAATATGCTTAAAATATCACAGATTACAGATTACACGTACCAACACGGAAATAAATTCTGCATGATTTTATTTACTAGAGTGAGTGGTATAACTATTGTATTTGACTTTCAAATGAACATCTAAAAAGAAGTCAGGAGGAACCAAAGCTTGATCTGGGTGGTCAGTAAATGGTAACTCTTCCTAATAACCAAATTTTTATTGCATAAACTAAACTGATGCACAGGGTGGCATGGCGCAGCGTCTTAATGAAACCAATAATTGTAAAGAAAATTTGAAAGTGGACATAGTGAGCCAAAATGTATCCAATTCTCACAACAGCCGGTTCTGTCTTTCGGAATTAATACGGATTTTATCCGGCAAGGGCTGTAATTGCGGCGCTCTAATCCTGTTTGGATCGGTAAGTTTTAAGTTAAGCCAAAATCTATCGATTGCTTCAGTTTGTTTGAAGATATGGATCAATAACGGTTTTGGCATAAACAGCAATAATTTGCATTTAATTATCTTAAATATTAGATTCAAAAAGAATATTTAAGCGCTTTGATAACGTATGTGGATATCTCATTGGCTGTATTATAGCCAGTCTTTTGCGCTTATACCGGTTGTTTGTGCGATTCTACACCTGCCAAGATCGGCCGAATCGAAAACACTAAAACAATATTCATCAATTCTTTTGCATATGTTTACCAAAAAACTATAAATATTGTATATTATCACACTGGAATAGTAGCAAATACACAGAAGTTTGCAGCACAACAACGTAACACATACTTATCCGTCGATATCATTTAAAGGTTTTAGGCGCTCTAGCTTAACAAACAGCCAATCAAACGCTGACGCACAAAGTCACAGGTTGACAGGTTTCCGCAACAACGCTTAAACATTGATTCGATTTTTTAATAAGAATGATGTAACTAACTGACGAAAAATAGTAGTAAATTCATTTTTACTAAATTCATTTTTACTTAAAACACTAATGCTATACATATATTGCTAATGGACCGTACATCATTAGAAATGTATTGGTAGAATATAGATTCAAGCGAGATTTACAATTTGTAGATATGGATGCCATTAATATCGATAAAGCGCAGACTAGTGTCACCCAAAAATTGTGTTTAGTTTGTTTAGCATAAGACAACAAAAATAAGAAAAAACGTTAACGGCGGTTGCATTGAAGCGAGAATACCCTTCACAAATAGAAAAAGTTTTTATACAAGAATTTGATTTTCATCGGTCGGTAAGTTTAATTTTCATTTTTTAATGAAATCCCAACATCGGGATTACGAAATAAAAATTAAATTTTGAATCTAAAATTTTTGAATTAAAAATTCGCAACCCTGAGACAGACACACAGGCGGACATGACTAAATCGAATCTGACATTTTATATAAATATGTATGTATATATACTTTATAGAGTTGCCGACGTTTCTTTCTGGACGTTACAAACTTCGTGGCAAACTTAACATACACTGTTCAGGGTATAAAAAGCGCAATTTACGTCATACATCTTTGGAGGTCACACTTTATATTCACATGCATAGATTTCGTTGCTGTTCCATCGAGTGTCATCGCCTATGCTGTTTTGGAACGTAAGCATAAAGGATGTGCCTCACAGCTATCAACTTGCCATCGCACAGAAATACGCTTTATCAATGCAACGAACTTATAGGATTTCATTGGGTGTGCGTGTATGTACTATGTACATGTGTGTACGCATGTTGCGTATCGATAACAGAAACTGCTATTCTTCGTTATTGCCTTACAACCTAATATCCAATATTGGCTTTTTTGACTTCTCTTTTTGCTGCTTGTGTGCCGGAATCGCTTTTTTGACTTGGCATCTGTCTATTTGTCTACTTCGAATGTTTGCAATACGTGCAAGCTTCATGCTGCTTCCTATCAGTATTGCTCTGACCTGATGTAACACATATACATGGCTATGTACATTTGAAACTCTACTACATGTACATATGTATATAAATGTTATATATGTGGCAACAACCCTGACCTAGAGGATTGGCATTGCATTTTACTCAAGATATTTGGTTTTGTGGAGAATACAAAAAAAAAATAATTTCTGTCATGGCTTTCATATTCAATTTCAGGAAGATATAAAAAAAAAAATAAGGTAAGGTGTATTCGCTTTTAAATTCAATAAAAGGTGGGATATTCAGCCCGAGTGCATTAGAATATGTACGCTTAAACATAAAACATATAATATGTGTATAGATACGTTCATGTGAGTTAAAGATTATTGCTATTTAATAGTATTAAAACAAAGGAAAACCTCTTAGGTACTTACAAGTATATTCAGCCAAGACGATACCTGTCGATACCTTGGTATTAGTAGTTCGTAGCTGGTATATTTTCTATATTTGGTTTTTCTGTTAATTTGTCCGATAAGCAAGGTTTTACCAGAGAACTTAGAAGAACTAGTTAGAGTTAGAACTAGTTAGAGTTCTTCTAAGTTGTCTGGTTTTACTATGCATGCAATGTATTGTAAAATGGTTTTAATAATTATTGCTATGAAGTTCATTTAAAACTTTTAATAATCATTGCTTTATTTTGCCACAGAGCATAAAAAAGTAAAAAATATTATTTCCAATGACAACTCTATACACTAACAACTATATATGTATTAACTACTTAAGGCTAGTCACTGTCAGATGAAACGCATTTCCCACTTTCGGATTCGTTCTTAAAACGCGCTAATAATTCCTTTGCAGGATTAAAAATGCCATATGTCTGTTGTGAACAAATTATGCACCGCTGTGACTTTTTATAATTTTCCAAAGCACATTTTTCGCAGAAGTAATGTTTGCACCTAAAAATAAAAAATATTTTGGAGTAACTTTTGCCCACATGGATATGTGTGAGATTATACTTACTTCGTCACTACCGGATTTTCAAAACTATTTCGACATATGAAACATTTAAACGGCAACGTCTCCTCATCTGAATGTATTTCATATTTCGCATCGTCCTCATCGGATTCGGCTTCACCACGTTGCTGTGCTGCATGATCGAGTTCCAGTTGCCAACCAGCTTTATAGTCACTTCGATCATGCAAAAATTTACAACTATCGCCAAACCCGCAATAACCGGTTTCTTTATAATCTTTACATATATCAGGTTGATAGTCCCACCGCACAGTGGCACGCAAATGAGCTGGTGCACGAATCGGTCCTTTCCTAACCATCCCAGAACTGGCATTGCCTTGTGCTGTGCCTTCTTTTTTATAGTATTGTGCGTAGTTATTAAGACCGCGATAGACTTTATCATCCGCCTTGCCTTCAAGTTCTTTATTAATTTTCAACATTTTCTCATGTAAAGCTTGTGCATCACGATCCTGTGCTGTGTCTGTTTCATTTATAGAAGTAGCCCCTTGATCTTGTGGTCCACTAGGCAAAGCACTTCGTTTCGACTTATAAGAGACACTTATTTTGTTATCCTCATCTTCATTCCCACTTTCAGAGGAAGCCTCAGTTTTTCGTTCCCTCTTGTTGACCAATTGTTTGGTACTTTGAAAATTGGGATTTGACCGTTTACGTTGATTATCACTACGCACAACTGCTGAGGTAGTTTCACCATCGCTATTCTTCTCTACAATTTATACAATAAGTAAATTCATTAAATATGTATAAAATTACAATTAATAGCTGAGTACCTGATTCTGAACTGCTACTTTGTTTACGACGTATGGTTGCTTGTTTTCTAATATTTCGTTTCTTAAAACCAAACGAAGAAGTGCTGGCATCCTCGGACATATTGAAAATATTATAAATTATTCAAATATCGATAAATGCAATAAAATTAGCCTGTCCAAAGCATCGTATTATTATAGTTTTCTCTGTTGTTGTTTGTAAAACCTTTTGGTTGGCGCGAAAATCAGCTGTTTACCTGTTAATAGGTGATGCCACACTTTATGACTATTGTGCAGCATGTACACACCAGAGTTGCATTCAACAAATTTGTTAAGTACTATTAGATTATAATAAATTGTTTTTGTTTATATGAGGATATATTTTTTATTTAAAAGCTTTTACAACGTTACATTGTTTAGCCAAAATTAATAAAGCAGCAGCTAGCCAAATATTTAATTATATTTTTTTTTCAGATTTTTTAGACTAAATTTAGGCAACACTACATTTTGTAAAATTCATTGCAATATTCATTTTGATTCATTTAACCGGCAATCAAATGAGACTCATCAACAGCAGTCTTAGTAAATTTTTCAAAGTACAAGAAGGTCAATTCTTAATCTGATAATTGATGTCATTTAGATACACTTGATAATTCAACGTTCTTCATTTTTTAGGACCCAGAATGGCGCTGAAATTGTTGTCGACCGTTAAATGCTTTGGTGGAGAACAGCGGGTTTATTCCCATACATCTGAAATTCTGGGTTGTGAAATGAAATTTGGTGTCTACATGCCACCACTTGCTGTCGACGACCATATGGAATGCCCTGTTTTATATTTCCTCAGCGGACTAACCTGCACTCACGAAAATTTCATTCAGAAGTCTGGCTTTCAGCAGTCCGCAGCAAAGCATGGCATTGTGGTTGTTAATCCAGACACTTCACCCCGAGGCTTGAACCTTCCAGGAGAGAACGATAATTGGGATTTTGGTAGTGGTGCCGGTTTTTATGTAGACTCCACGGAAGCGCCATGGTCTAAAAACTACAAAATGTGTTCTTACGTTACAAGCGAATTAGTCGAAATAGTGAATGCCAGTTTGCCAGTGCTACCTAACAAACGTGGTATTTTCGGGCACAGCATGGGTGGTCATGGTGCTTTAATATGTGCTTTGAAAAATCCAGGTGTGTACCAGTCAGTGTCTGCATTTGCACCTATATCAAACCCAATTGAATGTCCATGGGGTAAAAAAGCGTTCAAAGGTTATTTAGGTACAAATGAAGAGTCTTGGAAAGATTGGGATGCTACTATGTTAGCTACCAACTATGCTGGTATACCTTTGGAAATATTAGTCGATCAAGGCTCGGATGACAATTTCTTAAAAGAGAAACAATTGTTACCTGAAAATCTGTTGGGTGTCGCCGCTGATAACGACCATTTGCAATTGATCTATAAAAAACGTGAAGGTTATGATCACAGCTATTTCTTCATTTCTACCTTCATTGCAGAACATTTTGATCATCACGCCAAGTTCTTGAAGACATAACCTTTGGTAGCTAGTTACTAAATATTTGCTGTCAAATCAAGTAACGTCACACTATGTGTACTCTATAACTGCGCCAGACCCAAATTAATTTAAATTGGTTAAAAGGCGAAGGACATAAAATATGTATTGTGTCTTTTAAAGTTCTTATAAACAGAATGTTAGTTTAAATAAAATATTTCTTTCATCTGTATCGGTTTAGTTAGTGGAATTTTATTTTGAAATTTTTTATTATATATTTTATAGGGTCTCCTGATTTTCCCCTATTCACCGTATATTAAAACTTTATGAAATGCAGTGCCAATACAATGAACTGTTTTCATAAGGGTAGTGTAATTGACAGATAGATGGCGCTAACAGGAACTTTTTAACTACAATAATATCGAATATATTTAAAACCGATACCATCTGCTGTTAATTTGACCCTTGACAGCTCTACTGGAAGAAATTCCTAAATTTATGCTCTAAATTACGATATCGAAGTTATTGCTTCTGGTAGCACAACTAGGAGATAACTCTTAAGTTCCAATAGTAATTCATAACTTCATCCGAACGATATGTGGCAAATGCGCTAATGCAGCGTTCTTCAATTGATAATCTTGCATGTTGCAGTAATCCTTAATCAACTACCAAATTTCATTGACTAGTTAAGTACCTCAGGTCCAATGTGTTGTTGACTTTCTAATAATACATTGTGACCACAACAAACGCATATATAAATATACTTGAATCCTTATATAATATGCACAAGTTAATGCATATAGCTACACAAACAATTCAAATGTCGCTAACCCCAGCTTCCCTTGTATAACATACAAACAATTTTGTGCCAGCAATTCACTTCAGGCTATCATTAGCTTTTCGTAGTAAAAGCACACACAATACAGACAAAGCAAATTATTCGTATTCTCGATTGGAGCTTTCATTCATAAAACCCAGCTGATGGCATTTTGGCGCCATCAGTTTGTCGCTTCGGTCGTGAGTTCGTTTGCTACGCAGCATCCTTGTGCTGCTGTGGCGAGTGAATAGCAAATCAGTCGAAGACAGACAATTAAATATACTGGAAGTGTTTGGCATTTTACGCTCCCTGTCTAGAACGGCTCTCAGTAATTGAGCAAAGTGCGTGTAGGTTTTTTGCTAAGCAGAACATCAGCTAAACAAATTGCGCCAAATAAAAGATAACCATACCTGAGGCGATAGTCAGTTGTGATACTAGCACGCGTGTGATTTTTGTATAGGGGCGCGGAAGTGAAATAAATAAAATAGAAGTAAAACATAATGCAACGAATTTTGACGCATTACTCATACGCAATGTCATACTGCGTGCCGTGCGAAGCGTGAGAACGCTCGATTCGTTTGCTTGCTATGTCCATCCAATAAAGACGCCACAAGACATTTATCAGCCTTTGGCGCCACAAGATTTTAAGACAAATCGCGAGGGGTGTGGAGTTAACAGTGATACTGTAGTGAGTCGAGACAGAGGCGGCAATGCTGGCGGCGTCAACGACCGCAACATTACAAGTAAGCGTTAGATTGTGGTAGAGTAGAGTAGAGTATGGCGTTTGAATTAGTTTGTGTGTATGCCGAATGCCATGTTTAACCGAATGAAATTCCTGATTTTTGTTGGGGTCTTCTACCCTGAAAAGGATGCTAGACCATTTAGCGAAACTGCGAGCCTTTTGCATTTATTTATGTTTGAGCTGGGAGAGACAATTTTGCCACGTCTTCTTTGACTATCTCATTCACGAGCTTTTGTTGATTGATGTGTGCACTTCTTTGTTCGAAATATTTTTATTTGTACGTCCGCAATTTCAAAGTCACTCCTAACGAAAGTTTCTTCCGTTTCTACATTCGTTTACTGTTTACTTCAATTGTTCGTTTGCTCTGAGTAAGCTATTCAATTATTTCCGAGATTGCAAATGCTGGTGATGGAAAGACGGCTGCATTAGCTAAACAAACAGACCTTAAATTGCTTCACACAAAGAATGAGAGTGTGTGTGTGTGTGTAAAGAAAATAATAGGTTTAAAAGCATTATAGCATGAGTGCGTGACATCATCGAGAATCATAATTGATTGTTGCCGTAAATTTTATAATGTGTTTACATATACTACATATATTTGCAGTTGTTTGGCCGATCTGCCTAGCACAGGTGTCAAAATTATTCTAAAATGCGTGATCAGCGAATGTCTGTTAAATTAGTTTGCAAAATTTTAGCATTATAGGAATTCACTCGGAGGTTTGACTTAAAAACAATATTCACAGTTCTATATTATACCATGTCTGGGTTTTCACCCCTCTACCTATGAAACGACGGTCACAAAACTACAACTGTCAAATGTCGAGTTGCACATAAGTATATTGTTTGATTTTTTACGAAACCATATTCAGTGTGCAACAATGGCTTACTTTGCGCGTGCCGTACGTGCGAAGCTGCTCGAATTGCCTAATGTGCGAATGTCATCTATATATGTACTATATACATTTATAGGTTTTAAAAATTGTTTTAAATTTCATTCGCACACTGTGAGTTACTGTTTTTACATCAGGAAAATTTCTTTTGGAGAAAAAGTGAAACATTTTTTTTGTTTAATTCTGCGCATAAGTAGAAAGTTTTTCGTAGGGATTTTTCTAGTTTTAAAACTTGCCGTAAATCACTCAAATGTAAACGTTTTGTGTATGTATTTCAATAATATATCAGGGTATTATTAAAATTTTTCTGCTATGTATAACTATCTGCATTATTATACATCAGCTCAATTTTATTTTTTATCATTTTCATTTGCGAATTAAAACGCCAAAGTATCAGAAGACAAATCCTTTAATCAAATACCTTTAAATTTCGTATTTCCTTTTCTTTTTTTACTTTGGATATATTATTAGTGATCTTGAACGGCGGTAACAAATCTCTTCGTTCACATATTATATTTTTTGCAGTTGCAGTCTTTCAAGTTGCTAAACGTCAAACCTAACCGATTCAGGCAACTGTCAAACGTACGTACCCACCTTTGGTGTACGCTCACAAGTTTTTCAATTTCCATTTACTCGAGAGTTGTACATTTCTTTATTTCTGATCTATATGATTTCATGACTGCTGAAATATCTAAAAAGATTTTGAAAATTTTTAACCGTTAAGAAAGACAAACAACGCTTAGCAGTGGTGGAGATTATTTCGGTTGATATTCGTCTACCATATGCAACGAAAATAAATCTTGAAATATTTTTGTGATAATTTCTAATTTTTCACACCATTTTAATATATTTCATTTTAATTTATTGATTTTTTAAGATACGAGTATTTCACTGCTGCTGCCCTATCAAAAAATTATCTACCAATACTAACAACACTCACTCATTCTTTATATCCAGCAATACTATATACACACATATACATGTACATATCGCTATACTTGTGTGCTAAAAAAGTTTCTCCAAAGGCTCCCTTTTTGTCTTGTAGTGGATGGAGCAATTTGTTATTTCATATACAGCATAATTACCTGTTGGTTATTCACTCCACCTACACCTCATTTATCTCCATTATTTTAACCACTTTCCAGTTATTTTGCAGCTGAGTTTCCGCCATTAGTAACGGATGTTTGTGCCTAACAGTGTTGTGTTTTTGGTCAGTTACAAAAGCTATACTGCTGTCGTTATTAATATTTATGTACAGATTTTGGTTTGAAGGTCATACAACCAATTTCCACACTTCCATTTAAATTTAATTATGAACTACAAGTATTTTCCAAAAAAAAATTTGCTTATATTTTTAAATTTTTTATAGAAAAATTTTTATAACCGCATGCTATGTTATATTGTTAAAGTTAATTCGTGCGAAAACACACATGTTTTGGTGAACTTTTTGTGGCGACACAGTTTAAATCGTTTTATTAAAACCAATAGAACATTTAAATATGACATTCGAAAAATGTTGTATACAAAATTAATGAGGAAATATTGGAAAATACGGTCAGGGTTTAGTCATTAGATAATACTTAGTTTCCCCCTGTAAAGCTGAGAAGGTTTTTCGAAATTTCAATTCTTTTTAGCACTTTGAAGAATAAAAATTATTAACAAATTTGAAAATAACTCTCCGGTGTTAGCTTGGAAATTATGTACAAAAATAGTGTTCAAAATTTCAAAATAATCGCTACAGTAGTTTTAAAACTGACTTTGAAAAAGTGTGTTGTTTGGAAAACGCTTTAAAGTTTTAACACTAAAAAATCGTATGTGAAACGTTCATAAGACAGGTATAAAATGACTCGTAAATTTTATTCAGCTGACTTAAAATTGTTGCTCAATATTATTGAAATATTATGTATTCAACTAAAAAAAACATAAAATATATTTAATCCCATTTTAAGGTGCAGTCTGCGCGTAGTTAGCGCCACCTTAATTGCATTGTTTGTTTCTCTTTATACGCCATGGTTGTAACACAGTCCTCGACCGCGACACGACATTAAATACCTGAAATATTTAGCAAACGTTTATGGTTGCCGAAAACAAGCGCTCACACTCACAACACCTACGCACTACACACATATGTATATCTATAAGCATGAGTGTCGTGCGTCCATTCAGCCACTCGCTGTTATAACGGCAATTTATCTCCTCCATATGCGCCAATATGCCAGGATGTGTACGTGCCTTAACGGGGGCAAGCTTCCAAAAGTGCTTCAACTTTATACACACATAACTATGTGTGAGTGGTTAGGTTTAAAAGCCCTGCAGGGAAACACGAAATGGTTAATCAAATTATATAGTTTAGAAACTAGAATAACTTTGTAAAACTCGTGGAATTTGGTGGTTGTTTATCCTCTCTATCGCTCTCTGCGACTGCAACAACGAGAAAATTTTTTAATGTATAGGTATTTATATATAATTCTCCATACTACTACCAGTTTTTTTAATCTGATTATAAATTTAAGTTTCGACCGTAGGTCACTGTATGGGCAATATCTTCCAGTAGAAAATTTTATTTATTAAAATTTAGTTGTTTCTCCTAACCAACCAACTAGAGCATTTCTTGCAAGGTATGCACGTCGCAAGTGTCATGATGGGCCTATATTTACGGCTGTATATGTACTATTATCTTGCAAATTAGATCAATCAAAACTAACTCGATGGAATATTAAAAATAGATTCAATTTTATAGCCTAATATGTATGGAGGAAAAAATTTAAATGATTTAATATTGCACAAAAATATGCGTTATTTTATAAGCCTGGTGCAGAAACATTTGAAAACTCTAAAAAGTAAAAACAAAAAATTAAAGGAAAAATAAATTACGGGTGTTTTGGATCAGGGCCGTAAGGTGGTTAAAAAAGTTTAAAACGATATCTCGATTTTCGGTAAAACTACGAGTCCTATGGACCATGGACAAAAACTAAAACTTCGTTAAATAAATTCTAAGGTTCCTGCTTGAAAAATTATCGATCATCACACAAAGGTACATAGCACGCAAATGCAAATTAAGAATCTTTTGATGTGGGCGTCAATTCATTTTGCTATGAGAATTTTTTTTAAAATGGCTATAAACTTGACCACAACCTTTAGTTATCTTCCAAATAAGGAACTAGAATTTTTTACGCATTGAAGTTCTAAGAATTGTCAATTGGGAGATTTCAGTCAAACTTTTTCAATACAAATGTCTTTAATAACTGTTTAGTTTAACTGGGAGCACCTTTCAATTAATCGCAGAGTTTATGCTTTTTCCAAGATAGACGAAATTGATTACAAATTCGAGATTTGTGACATTTCGTAGTGACTATGACAGACATACGTTGACTGTTAAGTTTATGACAACAGAATATTCATTTCGTTAATTAACGGCACAGTTTCTAAGGCCGATGATATCAATGTTATCAGCAGTTTTCACTCTTATAACATGTTCTATTTCAACTCTCTACTCTTTTGGTATTGAATCGACAAAACTACGTTTCTCGTAAAAATCGCCGTACCTTTGGTAGAGCTTTCGGCAGTTGTTGCTCTCTGACAGCCCTTTCAAGCAGATTACACTCAAATCTATCGAACCGATACATTTTTTTCAAAATGGGGTTAAACTATTCGGAGCTATTCCACAACCACACGTATATCCGATATCTGCATACTTTATGAATAAATTATACACATACATATAAGTTTTTTGTAAATATTTATTTTTACAGCGAGCGCAAAAATTAAATTTGTTTTCATAATAATGTATGAGTGTCTGTATCCTGATAGTTGTTTCATCGGCTTATATTATTTGATTGACAAGTCGCTTGCGTGCTAAAATGGAGTGGCATGTTTGCTTCACATACAATGTATACGGTATTTTGTTTTGTTCATATGTATGCATGTTTTCCAAGCTTGACTCGGTTTAAAGTCAGCAGAGGTGCGTGGGTGCATGCAAATAAATCGTCGCATGCATACATGAGCTTGCCCTTGGCTTCATGTAACAGTAGCACTAATAACGATGGCTTATCTCTGTAAGCTATACGAGCCTGCAACTACATGCTTGCCCACAAATTGCCACACTGCGATACTACCGTAAGCTGATGCATATGTGTCTGTTTCCGACACATATACAGGCGTACTTCGCATGACACACGAATACTCACTCATCCTCAGCCTTCTTCATAGCACATTCCCCATTTTACGCAGGCTCAGCACTCACTCATTCAGTCCCAAGCCAATAAAGGCTAGCAGAGATTAAATGCAGATAGAATGCATAAATCGTACGCACTAAGTATGCGTGCATCCATATACATATTTATAAACATTCACATCATTATAGAAATATGTTTAGGAATGTAGTTGCAGTTTGGGAAAGTTGACATGCCTCATAGAAGTTTTTTATTCGGATGCAGCGGTAGAGTAATTAAAACTTTAATCAAGGCAGGGCCGTAATGCATTGTCATTCATACCAACCATACCAACCAAACCATACAAAAAGTTCTACAGAGTTGCTAGCACTGTTGTTGTTGTCTATAAGTAATTATCACAAATTATGTATGAGGCACATGCCAAGCTTCTCTTCCGCGTTAAATTTCATTTTAGTTGCTAATTGTCGCATTAGGCCCCAAGCAGTATGGACAATGAAAGAGTAAATAAGGTTTGCCGCTTCAAATTATAGCCAATAGCTAAATTATTGAAAACGTTTATACTAAAAAATATCACCAAAAAATAAATGAAATCTTCGAGAACTTTCCTCGCTCGAAAAAGTTTGCTTTCAAACTCTTATTCGTATGGAAACCTTTCGTAGCGAAAAAGCTGTATGATATATAAAAATATGTGTACATACGAGTCCATTAACATTGAGGTCACTTAGAAATGTCACATTTCAACTTTTGCAAGGCTGATGAGAATGTGTAAAAATCCATTTGTTAAAAGCATACAACCTTCCACCGGAATCAAAGTATGCAATTCAATAATCTTTATTATAAGACTGAACAATATAGCAGCCAATGCATTGATATTTGCTTTATTTTTTTGATAGAATTAAAACTTAATAATTTATTACAATAGACATTGCATATACCCAGCAGACCCGACGGGCATTCAAATTGAGATGCCCGAGGCGACAACTTAAATCAATCTCTCGCCACACACCATTGCGATGTGACTCACAAAAACACACAAAGAAAGAGTTTGCAAAAGGATAGAGCTAATGGATATTGAACGTCTCTGTGTTGGGATCGAATGTGATAGCAGCGAAGGTGGGAAGCTTTTGACGGTGAACGGTGAATTCGAGTAGATGTCAAGAGCTGCAAGGCGACCAAAAAACCAAAGAAGAGGCAGGCTGAATAAATACTTGTAAGTCAACAAAAAGCGAAACCCAACCACTATGCTAAAATTAGTGAAATTAGAAAAATGGGAAGAACTGAATCGATATAATAAAAGGCTTTTTGCCGGTGCGGTTAGCGACCGCAGAACACAAATGCGCTGTTTGTCCGTGAATTCCCTACAGAACAGACACCCACTCATAAAGTCGGCGAACGAACGGATGAACGCTCGGTTGAATGAAAGGCTGTTCGTCGATTGGACACTGTTGATGTGAGTACGTACTTACAAACATACATAAGTACACGTAATGCTGCTGGCTGTTCATGTGTAGTTGCTAGCTGAAAAGAGGAGTTTTTACACCAAAATTCAAATGCTCGAAGGATAATAGTTGAATTATTTTTTTATCAGTTTTCAACAACCGAATTGGCGTGTGCTCTTCATTTACCAACACCCATTTGCAAACATAGAAATTTGAACCGGTTTGCTGGTTGGCTAGCCACACATGTCCTGAGCGTACACTGACGTGGTACGTCAAAACTTTTCGACTGGTCAACAAGGGATCGATGCACCCAGCATTGTAGTGTGTTGTTTTCATGATATCGGCGACGTGTGTTGGAGAGGCGTACGTTACTATGAGCTTGGAACTACGAACTGTATTAGATTCTGGTAACAAAGGCCGCATTTGGCGATGTATCTGTTCATTTTCACAGTAATTTGCATGCTGCTGCTTTGTGCTCCACTGCAACCGTTCTAGCGTAAATTTGGTGCTTAATAAGTGCACTACGCAGTATGTACATATATATATACTTGTATATATACATATAAACCATGCATATACAAATGTATGTAATAATATTAAACTCGCAAATATACTTATTATTACGCTGTTGACTTTGCTATGCATACAGGGCTTCTTAAGTTCGTCAAAAAGAAGTGCGTGAGAGAAAATTACTTTTCGGCAAAAGTTTCGACTTATGATCACAAACTATAAAAATAATCCACCCATCTGTGGTTGACAATATTTTTTGACAGCTTATCACGCTAGCATTTTCTTTGACTTTTGCTTACTTTTCACGACTTGGGTGCTTTCTTCGTGGATTTTCTCCCAAATGTTGGAAAACTTTTGCGTTACTAAGCATAAAAAGTCAACTCATTAACGACACAACACTACAAATGATGGCATCGTTCCTAACCATTTTCTCGCTTTGATATCTTACCGCCAAATACTCTAAGCAAAAACAACTATTTTTTTAGAAACCGACTTAACAATATACAAATTTTGCTTAACTGTATATAGGTTGAGTATTTTTACTGTTGTTGATTACCTTCTCACACAAATTTTTGAAAGCAATAACAATCGATTAAGAACCAAAGAGTGAAGTGTGAGTTATAATAACATAGCGCCAAGAGAATTTCAAATATTTACCCTTAAATTATTCTGACTGAATGAGTTCTCTCATTGTAATTACAAATTTGAGCAAGCGATTTCGCTCATAAAAGACTTAACTCGAGAAAACAAAATAAAAATTCAAATAAGTATGGACTGAATTCACACGGAACTATATGTATGTTATAATATGTTAAACTACAACTTACTATCAATTTTGTGTATTAATATTAATATTTATATAATTTTTCGGAAAATTATGTTAGTGACTATTTTAGGTTGAATTGTGATAAAAGCTAAAACACTTTTATATCACATATATATTATTTGTATAGTGTTATATACTATACAATTTACAAATGCTTCTCTAATTTGAATATAGAAAAATCCTGTGCTCTTTACATTATGTGTATCTGCAACACTCATACGTCACGGTGCTCTGCGATTTCTCAATCTAGATTAATGAAACTAAGATGTTTCAAAGTTATTTGCAATCATTTAATTTCCATGTGTTTTTGTGGTCGAACTTATTCATTATCGGAACTTTCAGTGCTTGGCTGCCGTGGAGAAA